CGCGACTCCTGATTGATAATTTCAAATGTGTAAAAACACAAAAAACCTCCAAAAACTCTGCCTGAAAATATCGTAACAGTGCTCACTAGTGACTACTGGCTTCGTGAGGAAATTCTCGGAGTTCTAGGTTGAGAAGACGTGACCGATGGAGTTCAACCCTGTCGGGTGCAGTAGGCAGTAACTACCAAAGACAAATGGGTGAGGTCAATCAGAGTTAGACATTAACACCGTTGGATGCCAACGGCCCAGTGCTCTAGAGGGTTAGGCGTTCGCGCACAATACCGAAGGTCCCGGGTTCGAATTCCGGTAGGTGCAGGAGTTGTGAGTGCTCATTGCTGATGAGTCCCATACCAGGACGAAACAGCCGTCTTTCAGTGCTTCCAGGTTTCTAATGGTGGTCTAACAATGATTGATTGATGACTTTAAATGTATAAAAACAATATGCTGCAATTAACATTTTTCGTTTTCATGCAAGCATCTCTGAATGGTTGGTATTAATTAGTCGATGTCGTTATATTGTTATTTTCATACGATATTCGATTGAAATCTAAGTCGAGATTTTTTAATTCAAATTTAGATAGCTTTATTATGTATTGTCTGCGATAACTATTAAAATTTATTTACAGTATACTTTTGTAACTGATAAATGACTGATAACTATTCAGCTCTGCATAACTATTTGATCATAGTAGTGAAACCTTCCATAGTACATATGTTGCTGCAGGTATAAGGCAGTCTCTATGATGTAATTCTTAAGGCCAGAGTGAAAGATGTAGACCAAAAGACAGATTGCGCTGAGATTTAGAGACAGATATGAATAGAATAAACAGCAATCGGGTTGAACTGGAAAGGAAGGCTTAAAATAGATTTGATTGGAGAATGCTTATCGATGGCCTATGCTCAACAAGAGGTTACAGGGAATGTTGAGCACACATTAAAAAATTTTTTCCACGGGGTCAACCAAAGAAAATATAGGTCTGCTAGCGATAATGTTACTAAAATTTTCTTTCTGATGGGTTATTCAAGTGTTTACGACCCACTGGTTTTCAGGTTGTGAAGTTTTATGTGACTGGAAGTATTTGACAAATATCTGGGACCTAGTTTTCGTATTGGTTGTTACTCATCCACAGTGAAAACGCACTCCCTAATGGATTCGAACTAACAACTTCCCAGTTCTCAGTTTGATATATTAACACTAAACTATTCAGGCAGTGACTGACCTTCCCATAGAATTGAGATATATTCGAACAAGATTGATAAACTGAATAGTTACCATTGTTGCATTTATGTAGTGTAGTTACAGATATTACTGAATTTTTCGATAAGATATAGATAACAACACAATTATTTATACTTTTAAGAAAACTATTTTTAGGCAAGAATTTCATTGAATATAAAAATTCTACACAGTTGGATAATTTTTAGTTAACCTAAAATCAAATTTCTGTCGAATATTATGTCGATAGAAAACAATTTCGTTATTTCTACCCATTTATTTTTGATTATTCTGACCCAAATAACAGTCTTTTCAAAGAATGTGGAGATTAAGGTGTTCAGTTTATCTAAACGAAGTTTATGAAATGTTTTTTTTCCTCACTGAAAAACCAACATTGAAATAGTGGCTAAATTATTAAGGGGATGATGAGAAAATCTCTTTTTTTCTTTTTTCAGTGTAAAGAAAAAACCAAAATTAAACGATAAAAATGTGGACAAATTATGGAAAAAAATTAACATAAATAATTGCACAATTTATATATTCATAGATGAGCTTTACATTTTGGGAATAAAAATAGACTGTAAGGGCGTTTAAAAGATTCTTATCTCACATACATAAAAATCTATTCAATAAATGGATTGTCATATCATGAAAATGAAAACTGGTCTTAGATGCCTACTTACCCCCTAGTGAACCATGGGTCATTGATCAAATAAGTAGGAAGGATTTGATTTCAACCAATTTTGTCTCTTGTGCTGTTACGGTTATGAGGGCGGTTGTCAATTCCCAGGGTGCCCACACCGTGGAAGGTTGTTTCTTGAGGGACCTGAAAAGAAAGATAGATTAGTATTGGTCTTAGAGACCTGGTTGCGTGAACGCAGAGCCCAGGCGACAGCTGCTTGTGGCCGGTCACGCACGATCTTTTTATGAGTTTTTTGAATGTTGGCTTCTCTCTTGAAAGTCCCTGGTGGGCACTCTTACCGCCGGAGACGGAAATCCGTGAGGTTGGGTGAGGTGTGACATTTTTAGGGTCGAACTTTTCTAACACTTCCTTCCTTGTGAGAAGGCAGCATCGCGGCAGATGCTGGTTATCCGAGGGAAACACCTTACTGCTGTCAAACCCCTTTTCAGTCAGCAGTATGACTTCGCCCTCAGATCTTGGGTTTCTGCTTTTAGTCTCATCGTTCTCCAATCGACCTCCCTGGCTGGCACAGCAGAACCTTCAGGAACATATGTTCCAGTTAATATAGCTCGGTTGGGTCATGACGATAGGCAAGCCTGACCACCACGTCAAGGTAGCAGCTACGATCGGGCACTATAAAAACGCTAACCAGAAAACATAATTCAAACTATTTTAACTCTGCCCTGGTAGTTAGAAGGTCTTCTTTCAAAAGAGTTATGACATCTCATGGAGAAAGCAGAAATTCTTCGGAAGACACGATCAACCAACTATACCCGGGACCTTCCTTTCCAGTTCTATCCAATCACATTTCATTGTTTGTATGTGTGCTTCCGATTCTCAACGTAATGTGTTATCCGGCTATCTGTTTTTTCTTTTGGACCTGAAAATTCTGAGTACTGTCTCACCTTGTGAAGCATTTGGATGATTTCTTCAATGTATGTCCTATCCACTAGCATTTTTTTCCTAATTTCTTCCTCAGTTGGAGGATTCTGGTTTATTCTCTCGCTCACAGTAAGTTGGTAATGATGGCTTCTGATCATCGGATCAGCAGTATCTTGCATAAACTTGCATAACTTGACGGGACGAAAAGAGAACGTCCAGCACTTAAACTGACTTGATAGGTACACAGGATCCATTGAGAGGAGTTGGAAAACCCAGATTCCAAATCAGTATGCGACCTGGAATTCTAGATCCTGTCAATTTCGTTCTCAATACTTAAGTCACGAGAAGGCATAAGGCAGGAGTCTCTTGTCAGTGCCTATGCTCGGACATCCATTTCATCAAAGAGAGCAAACTCTCCTCACTCTCAATCGTACCACGGTATTTACGAACGAAGAAATATAAGCTAAGCAATGAATCAACTGATTTAGAATATTTTTTGTTCAATCAATTCTACAACAGCAAAACACAAAATTCAACAACTTTTTTTAAAAAAAAAATTCAATGTTCCAGATTTTAGCTACATACATACCGCTACATACGAAGAAAATTCTTCCCTTAATTCATTTTTTTTATTTATTTTCTAATTAAAATATTAAATAAATAATTTTTTTTCAAGAAATTTTGCCGAAATTCAGGTCAACCAGATTCACGAAATCGCATACATTTTATTTTTGACAAATAACAAATAGTTCCTTATCTCAGTGAATTTGAAAGAGACAGAGAGAGATGGAAAGTAGGATTAAAGGGTTGAGTAAATCGCATTAATAGGTATTTACACATTTGAAATCATCAATCAATCATTGTTAGACCATCATTAGAAACATCGAAGCAGTGAAATACGGCCGTTTCGTCCTGGTATGGGACTCATCAGTGGCAGTGCGCATCCACGACTCCTTCACCTCGCAGGATTCGAACCCGGGACCTTCGACCTTGTGCACGAACGCCTAACCATTGGACCACTGGGCTGGCATCCAACGGTGTTAATGTCTAACTCTGATTGATCTGAGGATTTTGCGCGACCTCACCCATTTGTCTTTGGTAGTTACTGCCTACTGCACCCGACATGGTTGAACTCCATTGGTCACGCCTTCTCAACTAGAACTCCGAGAATTTCTTCACGAAGCTAGTCACTAGTGAGCACATTTTACGATATTTTCAATTAGAATTTTGGAGGTTTGTGTTTTTACACATACATGAATATTTACACGAAAATGTTAAACCAATTAAGGCAATTCGAGTCGATAATTACAATGAAATGAATATAGATTACGTCACTAAACATGATAGGTAAAAGTTGTTAATAGCAAGACAAGTATAAGAATAATAAAATACGATAACGTAAAGTTGTTTGTCAATAGTTCAACATAGAATTAGTAGTAGGTCAAATGTGAATAAATCGACTTAAAATACTCAACACAAAACATGAAAACTATTGCGTAACAAGAAGTGTGTAAACAATTAGACTGTAAACGGAAACAGTCAGGTTGAACTCCAGGTTGAGCTGCTGATGAGTCCCAAACCGGGACGAAACAGCCATTGTCCAGTGCTTCTTCCAGGTTTCTAATGGTAGTCTAACAATGTTTGATTGATGATTTCAATTGTGTAGAAAAACACAAACCTCCAAAAACTCTGTCTGAAAATCAACAGGTATGCCGTATCGAATTAGACAGTCAGACAGATACAACGCAGAACTTCTTACGTAAGTAGATCAGTTCAGGTTGCCGTACCACCTCAGCACAGAGACGCAACTGTCAGTTCAAATCCAAGAGCGATAGCCATAGTGGAATTACTAGCAACAATGGAGAAGATTAGGGAGCGAAGATATAATATAATTCAGTAAGATAAATTTAAAAGGTTAGAGTTTGAGAGAGAACAAGAAGAGTAGATGCACCTGTGCTATTGCAAACGATTCTGAGCCATGTCATTCAAGGTCTCTAACCATAGGTGACTTTCGTCTCGCGGACCCCAACCAAGTAGTCTGCATCTGCCAACATGACTCAGTCCACTTGTCAGTGACTTCATGGATTTCTGCCATTTTATGGTTTGACCGCCCCCAATTTTCTTCCAACCTACTCCTACACCACAAAACATAGCTCGTCGCTTGAAATGGATAGAATTGATTGAATTATTATATAAAATCAATGTGTTTGTTTTCTATCTCTCTATTTTCAATCATGTTTTATTTACACGTATTTCAAATCATTAATTCTTTTTTACATCTACAACTAAATCAAAACAGTCTAATTTAATTTTTTCATACATTCACATACAATAAAAACACATTTTTTATTTCACACAGTAGATTTCTTTCACTGCACAGAAAAAAAACTCTAAAACCCTAACGCATACATGACATTTCAACCAAAATCTACACGTTATAATACGGGTTTTAGTCAAAACATTGTATTTAATCAGCTGTATAATTTGAACAGCAATTCTAGAGTTGATTAATTTCAATTTTTGAACAATAAAAAATCTGTTGATAAATGATTTACAAGCAGATTTTTTGTTGTTGTTTTAATAAACAAATGAAAATTCAAATTTCAATCCATTCGGTGTAGCGGAATGTTATAATCCGTAATTAAATTATTGTAAATTTTTTATTCTGGTTAATTTGTGGTTATTATTATTATTATTATTATTATGATTTCTGGTTTCACATTACACCGACAAAAATGAAGACAGACATCTTTGTATTTCGTTCAATGTACATCCATGTAAACTAACAAATTTTTATATTTGAAAATTAAGATCAACTGTTGTATTGTGGTGCGAGCTACTTATAAGTAGTATATGACGTGAGTGTAAACGTAATGTCTGGCAGCAGAAGATGGGGAAAGATCAAGAAAGGAAGAGTTAGAACACAATGGAATTTGTATGAAACGCATGAATAGTGACAATGGGTTGACGTTTTGCAACAGGAACTGTCCAGTTCGATATGATGAATTGATATTTTGCAAATTAACGATTTACGATATGGTTTTCCAATTTTTCTGAGTATTTCTGTAATTTCCGTTAAATACAATTCGGTTGCCCCACCTGTGTTCTCCCTCACTACAGTATGTCATACTTGGATTTCATTAATCTCACATCATCATCACTACAAAAACATAATTAACTGTTTATGTAATCATTCCAATATCATTCGGAAAAAAATATCGATTCACTGTTGAGTTGTAAATAATCTAATCAGAGATTAATTATGATAATTGAAATGAAAAATAAATATTCACCTACCACAATGACATTTGAAATGAGCAGTAGTTATGCATGAAAGATTAGAATTCGATCACATTATTTGATTTTCAGCGATATACCCAATCAATGTGTTCATTGTTTAAGCTATGATGTGTTCAATGTGCTCAATGTTTGATTAGTTTCATATTCTTTCACTGTAACCTAATGATAATTGCAATCTTATAGGGACCCATTAGAGTACTTGTTGTTTTCGCGTGAAATTTTAAACCATAGTAGGATTTTTAAAAAGACCTATGAATTACATTTGATGAATTTCAATCTTCAGTTTTTCTATACATTGATATAATAAATCCATCATTGGTAGACTACCACTAGAAACCTTGAAGAAATGGACAGCTGTTTCGTCCCAGTATGGGACTCATCAGCAGTGCGCATCCTCGACTTATTCACCTCGCAGGACTGATGATTTCAATGTGCGAAAACACATATCTCCATGGCTATAACTTAAAATATCGTAAAATGTGCTTACTAATGACTAGCTTCATGAGGAAATCCTCGCAGTTCTAGTGAGAAGACGTGCCCAATGGATTTCAACCATGTCGGATGTAGGCAGAAACTACCAAGCGAAAACGGTGAGGTCGCGCAAAATCCGTAGATCAGTTA